GGGGGAGAGGAGGATGGAGACGGCCTCTTGGGATAGGAGCAGCAGAAGAGAAAAGGGGGAGGGGACAGAGAGACAGGCAGAGAAGCAGGGGTGGGGGACAGACAGACAGAGAAAGAGAGAAGGATGGGAGGTAGGCAGAGTCCCTTTAAAAGGGAACATAGTGAGTGTGCACAGATGGTGCTCTTAGTGGCTGCAGCTGAGGGCTTGTCCTGTCAGAACCCCAAGGGCAGGCCAGTACAGATGCCTGAACACTAACAGCCCACAGCCTTTATCTATCCCTGTCTTTCTCAATACGCAGTTGTGGATTTCAGCCCAAGGCACCCAGCAATGCTCCTCCCACCCTGTTGCCACTCCCTCATTCAGATCTATTCCTTGAAAAACCTCTTATTCTTATTCAGCCCAGTGGTTTCTCTGCCAGTTCCATTCATCCTATGAACTGTTAGAAATGCAATCTACAGTTCAACTCTGGTTGTGACATTTCATGGATCAAGAAACTCCAATTTCATAGCTTAGTAGGCCAGTCCAAATCTCCGGGCCTAGCAGTAAGAGTCTTGCAGGTTCTGAGCCAAAGCAAATCCCCCAACTCTTTACTTTCACATTCTTCCCCTTTATCTTTTGCATTTACCGTCTGATGTAATATGGCATACCCGACCAAAGTCGGTCTCCTCCCACATGAGTTTGCCGTCATCTCTCCTGCTGCATCCCTCCAGGTGAGGAGAAAACTCCCTACCGTCCACATACGGCATCTGCACACAGGACACTGGAGAGCTCGTGGCAAAGTTTATAAAACAGACTAAGAAAGAATAGTGCACCTGCGTGCCAGTGTCAAGGAGGAAGGTGGAGGTGGGTGTGAGGGCTTCAGGATGCCGGAAGTCAGAATCAGAGTAACTGAGGCCCACCATGCCAGAGTGCCAAGAGCCACCAGCCTGCCACACGGTGACTACTACATATGGTCTTTGTAGAAGTTAAAACAAGTTAAAGATTCAATTAAATAGGGAAGGGGTCACAAAAGAGCATCCGATAAGAGACTGTAAAGATTTCGACCACTGTGAAGAGGAAAGTTCAGGGCGGCAAACCAAACCCCATGAACTCATGCTCCCTAAGTTATTTCTGTTTTGGATGTCTCTATCATTTGCACACTCCTAATGAATTTACATAGGATTTACATAAGGAACTCCTTGGACTCAGCGTTCTAGTGAGTGGAGTCTCAAAACTACTCCCGATGATGGCCTACAGAATGGATGGGATGGCTATTGTACAGGATTCTCACCGCTCTGTTACATGCCACGCTCATAGTTCCCGAGTGTGACGGGCATTCAGTTGAGTCCCCATAGGTTTCCTTCTCAGAACTCCTGCAGGAGGACCACTGCCCACTTTACACACACTGCAGTCAAGAAGAAATTATGCAGTGTAAAGACTAATTACCATGGCTCGGTGTTGGTGGCCAACGCCTTGGCTCCCAGTGCTTGGGAGTCAGAGGCAGGTGGATCTCTGTGAGTTCAAGGCCAGCCCGGTCAACAGAGCAAGTGTGTGTGTGTGTTTGTGTATGTGTATGTATGTGTATTTGTCTATGTATATATGTATGTGTGATATATGTGACATATATCACATGAAAATGCCAACTCAAACTCTCTACTTGGCTATACTACATGAGAGTGTAATTAAAAGAGACTTTTAGGGACATCTAGACCAACCATGTGTCCCAAACTGTGTGTGCCAGGAACTAGGATTGAGCACACATTTGTGCTTTGTGTTTGTGGGCAAAGGACACAGAAATAGAATAAGAGTTGCTGAGCAGTAACTGTAAACAGCAAAGAGCAGACTCAAGACCAAAACAAACACAGCCAGGGAAGAGAGGAGCAAATGAAGCAGGGACGGGGGTGTCCCAGGCTCTCGTTACTGCTCACAATCGTAGGCCCTAATAAGGTCTGTCTGCACTTAGCTTCCAGTGGTCTTCCAGTACATTCCTTTTCCCCTTCCTTCCTTTCTCTTGACTAAAACTAGTTCAGGTTTATTTCTGTCACTTGAAACAAGTAGTAATCAAAATCTTCCACAATCCACTGACTCATCGCTGTTCTACTTTTTCTACGTTCTCTTCAAGGCTTCCGAAAAAAATTCAGAAGATTGAGCAACTGAATACACGAACAGTGGGTAAGGTCCACACTGAACCTTCCACGAGGAAGAGAAAAGAGAAAATAAAGGGCGTTCGAGGCAGAGTCATGTACAGCAAATTAAGAGATTCTAATAAAGAGCCGATTTTAAGGCTCACCGTGTGCCTGTGCAAAGGCACCTTAGCTGTGAAGACATCAGACTGGTAGACCGAGTCTTCTGAGAGGCAGGATTATAACACAATGCCTCTACCTAGGGGATTTCATTTGGAAGGTAACCCAGGTAACTAGCAACCGGCTTTCCAAGGGCAGGAAGTGTTGAGTGTACTCTGATATCTTCCTTGACCCAAATACCAAAACCAAGTTATCAGACTGTGCCAGAGGTTTCGGTTTCCCTACAAAGGGCAGGCAGGCAGTTGTTAGTGACAAAAGCAGCAGCTTGTTTTTAAGGGTAAGAACGTATGTACAACTGAATTTTAAGGAGCTCTGGCCAGGCAGGTGCCTTCGGTCAAGCAATCCTCAGGGCAGATGGCTCCCCAAAGCTGAAGCCACGGCCATCAGACCCGACTACCTGTAGACCAGTTTAACATGTGTAGCAAGTCAAAGATTGACACGCAGATGTCTGAAGGAATGAAGTGGGCGGCTCTGCAGGGTTATGCAAACAAAACGAGTAATTTAGGAGCCTGTAGTTAGAAGACATCTACAGAAAAAGCAGTTAAACTTTTAGAACCAAATTCACCGACCAAATGCACAATGTCACAAACATATACACATATTTATAAAATATATACAAAATATAATAATCATAAAATACATATGGGAATAAAAATCAGAGGGCTCTGACTAGTTAGGATGGAGCTCAAAATCACTATTTACTAACATTGTTTTCTGATGGTTTAAAAATCTATGCGTAGTAAGTGAAAAAATTCATCAGAAAAACTGATGAACTCTAGTTGGGGGATAAATTTTAGTCTTTTTTTTTTTTTTTTTTTTGGACAGGTTGCTTATGTAGCCATGACTGACCTAGAACTTGCTATCCAAACCAGGCTGACCTTGAACTCACAAAAACCTGCCTGCCCTGCCTCTGAGTGCCGGGATGAGGTGTATCCCACAATGCTGGGTGTTAGACATTCCTACACTGTAGCGAACGAGCAAGGACTTCTGCCTGAAGAATTGGAACAAATACCTTTAAAAATGGAAGACAGTGCTTTGATTCAAACTCTAAATGACGCTGAATGCTGCAACCTCGCCCAACAGGCAGTTTACATACTGTGACAAAAATCTAAATGGCAAAGAGCTACTGAGTTTAATATATAAAAAAACATTCCAGACATCCACATAGGGAACTATTAAAAGCATCAGAAAGTTGATTGGAACATCAGATAGGAACAAATTTTTTAAACTATGTTTAAATAGTCCAAATATAAACTTGGTGTTCCAAAAACTGGCAAGAGGCCACAGTACAGTTGATTGTGGTCTTCAGAGTCGGCTTGGCCACAGGTATTAAGTCAACATGTCAGACACAAACAATCAGTCATATATTCCCTTCAGAACAGTCGATCCCTTATCACCCAGCCCACAAGTTTTTAGAAATCCATTGACAAAATGAGAAGTGAGAATCTGTTGATTCCTAAGAAGGACTACGATAAAGCAGCTCCTGTATTACGAATCTGCTAAAAGGTGGGACCCTTTCTGAAGAACAGCGTTCAGGAACAAACATAAAACCGCTGCCACGGCTAGAGTGAGTAGTTACAAACTGCACATTCAGTATATTTAACTATCCGCCGTTGGTCTGAGAAACAACTTCGTCAACTCTATAACCCTGAGGGTATTTTATGGGTAAAATTTATAATTACCCTTTAAAACTAACTGCACCTGAGGGTGCAGTCAACCGCCAACCAATGTGTGTGTCCCGGGTAACCAAATCTCATTTTGACAGTTCAGCACATCGATGGTAAAAATAGCGACCACCTAACATCTTCCAAGTTATCCCAGTTTCCAATAACAATGTTTTGCCACACCAGGCAAAATAAAAGAGCCAAGCCTTGATTAGTTGACCCCGTCCAAATTCAAGAGCCCCTGCAACATCGCATTTCTCTTAAAATCTCACCTCGAGCTTCAAATTATTGGTATTTTGACACTGAGGGGGAGGGAAAACAAAAACTCCCTAATACTTTCCACAAGATTCAAAGCAATTATTGTTCCGCCTTCAGAATTATCACACTCATCGCATAACCTACAAAGGCAGGAACAGCACTTCTTATTCGGAGAGTTTGACTTGGAATAGCCCAGTGGAAAAGTTTGGGTTTGGTTTGTTTTTATAAAAAGGTTCAGATGCTTACTTCCACTTGAAAACAAAACAAAACTGGTACCTGCCCAACTGGGGTTCTGCTGGGTTTGGGCCTATGAGATGACAGCCGAGCCCCGGGTGCACCCCTCTCCCCGGGATGGGGGACAGGATGTGGCGGGGGTCCCGGGATGGTGGCTCTCCCACGTTCCCACGCCCCGGCCCGTTATCCCGGGCCAGGGCTGCAGGGGAGGCCGGAGCGGAGCGGGGCGCGCCCGGGGTGCTGCAGCACACGCCCCCGGCCAGCCCGGGGAGTCACTTGGGGCCCGCTCGGGGACAGTGGCTCCCGCGGCTCAGGTTCGCGGTGGGGGACGGGTAAGGTGTCAGCGCGGAGGCTGGCGGGGCGCGGGGCTCCCGCCTGACCTCGTTCCGCGCTGTCCCTCGGTGGGACACATCCCGGGGACCCGCCCCGGCTCTGCGGCCAGGGGATGACGCTCGAGGCGGAGGAGTTGCGCGGACGCTCCCGGGATGGGGGGGATGGGGTCCCAAGCCTGACTTGGCGGGGTCGCGGGGCCGGATGGGACAGGAGGGGTTGGCGCACTCACCGGGCAGCGTGGTGGCCGCGGCCGAAGCCAGGCAGAGACCGAGGCAGAGCGCGAGAGGGCGCGGGAGGGTCCGCCGCACACTCCGGGGCAGACGAGCGGCCGCCGCTGTCCGCCTCCCTCCTCCCTCCCGGCTCCGGGCGACAGACGGGGCGGCGGGAGGCATGACGGGAAATTCCTGGGCACGGGCGGCCGAGTCCAAATATGAGCATAGGAGCCGAGCGAGGGAGGACCGCGGAGCGCGCCGGCCGCGGACGGGGCCCGCTGCCCGGACCACGGCCGGCGCCAACTCCCGCCCCCTGCGCCGCCTCCACCGCCCCGAGTGCCAGCCCAGAGGGGACCCGGGTGGGAGCACCCTCGCAGCCTCCACCTGAAACCCCTGCGGAGTCAGAACGCCAGAGACGCAAGGACCTGTGGGGTGACATGTCAGGGTGGTGACGGGGTTAGAAGTTCTGGCCTGTGCCGAAGATTGCGGGGTGCCAGGTAAGGTGTGACATGAGCGCGCCTAAGCGTACCCAACACCCATAATACAGAGAACCACGGTCTGCGACCCAGGGACCCCCAGCACCCCCTGTGTGTGTGTCCAGGTGAGAGTCCTTACCACTCCCACTTCGACTGTGTGTGTGGGGGGGGGCTGATGAGATCAGAAAAAGGGCATCCCCTGAACTTTTATTTGAACACCATATATGGTGTCAAGTCAGGCTGACTGAAAGAGTTTCCACACCGTTTACACCGACCTTTATTCATAATCGTACAGGAGCGCCCGCGCGCGCACACACACACACACACACACACACACACACACACACACACACACACACAATTTGTATATATTGCAGACTGTCCGAAAGGCATTCAAAGGTACTACCTCTGATGACCAAAATGTCCCAGATGACTGATTTCAGGTCAAGCACAAGACTACCTGTCTTCGCTTTGGCACTAATTCTACAATTAATCAGATCCAAATGACCCCTCTCAAGACAACGTAATTATGTCCTAATTACTATAATATATATTGTCCCCCAAACAAATTTTTGACAGGATTTGGCGATGTGGGATGTTATACAATTACTTCTCAACATATTAAGAAGCTGAAGAAGTGTGATTAATTGATGCAAAGCACTTAAGGGGTAAATGTCAAACAGATTTAGAGGGTGGATTATTTTAACATGAACTAAAGGGAGATAATTTGTACATCACACTGTGCTTGAAAAGGCTTTATTTGAAAGTTAGTAAACCTCATTTCCAAACAAATTCAGTTCTGGCAAAGTATGAAGGCCCATAAGCCAAAAACCCAGTGCATTTGCAACTGGCTGCCCCCAAAACATCTGGCACTAAAAAATATTATGTCCCGTGGATTACACCCTACAGATGGGCAGATTTCATTTCATGTACTAGCAATGACAGCAGATCTAAGGACAAATGGCCTAAGGAAACTCAGAGTGACTCTGTCGTAATAAAGCAAAGAAGGTCTTTGAAGAACACTTTCATATTAATACTCAGCTATGGAACCGGAACCTGGACAGCTGGAATAGGATGGGAAACTTGAGTATCGCCCTTTCTCTATCTCTCTCTCTCTCTCTCTCTCTCTCTCTCTCTCTCTCTCTCTCTCTCTCTCTCTCTCTCTCTCTCTCTACACACACACACACACACACCATTGAGACTTGTAATAAATAATCACTGTTTTTCTCCTGCTTACCCAGCAACAACCAGCACAGTCCTTTCCCCATAATCTAAATGTTTAAAACTAAAAAGAATGCAGCCATTTATAAACTGAAGATAAGAACCCTCTGCATAAAGGAAAAAGCATGTTTCAAAGGACTGTGGCAACTATGGCTACGCTTAAAATATTTCTGTGCAATGATGGTAAGATGGGAAGATATAAGAAAACAGAAATGGATGCTATTACAGAGTGATTTGTGTTCACTGGAGTAGGGAATTAATGATCAGTTTGCAGGCTTTACCTACCAACTGTGACTTTAAATGCCTGGATTAAGTATGTTAAGGAGGGGGAAAAAGACTCAAATTAATGGGTGTATAGTAAATGACAGATATTAAGCTAGATGTTTTACACCTGATGTTTCAATTGAATCCTGCCAAATATTCTTAAACATGGTATTTCTGTCTGCTCTGCAGTGATGTAGACTGAGACATAGTAACAGAACCTACTCCAGAAGCAGAAGTAGTGTTGGAATTCAAGCCCCAATCCACCATGTCTATACACCTTTTACCTGTTTTCTTGACATCAAAAACATAAATAAATAAATAAATAAATAAATAAATAAATAAATACAAACAATTAAGGTAGCTTCGAAGAGTGTGTCCCTTGGGTTGTTACGGTTTTAAGTATCTGGCAGGCACTCAGGTTGTCTCAGGTACAGGAGGCAAAGGCTCACCGAGAAATTCAACCAGAGGCTTAGCTGGGCCTCACAGGTGTGGTCTACACCTTCGATGGCTCCGGGGAAAGGAATGGCACTGCCTGTGGACCACTATGCTCTGAGTGCCATGATTTAATCAAGAATCTCCACAATGTTTCTAAATGCCCTGAATTAGGGTTCCTAGGGCTATGAAGAGCACCATGACCACGCAACTCTTATAAAGGAAAAACATTTAGTTGGGGTGGCTTACATTTTCAGAGGTTTAGTCCATTATCGTCATAGAGCGAAATGGTGCTGGAGAAGCCGCTGAGAGTCCCACAACTCGCTGTAGGCAACAGGAACTGGTCTGTCTCACTGGGCGTGGCCTGAGCATATCTGAGACTTCAAAACCCGCCTCCATAGTGACACACTTCCTCCAACAAGACCACACCTACTCCAACAAGGCCACACCTCCTATAGTGCCACACCCTTTGGGGGGCCATTTTCTCTCAAACCACCACTTGCCCTATCACCAGTCTTAGAAACAATAATCTTACTTATTATTTGTTGCCTATGCCATCTCTCCCCTGTCCCAATGGCACACTGGCAGACATTTACGTCACACCAGGCATTTACGTCACACCAGGCACGTAGGGGGACCAGGCCAGTTGTATTAGCTAACTCACATGCTGTAACTGCTTCTTCTAACCCAATGTGTCAGAGGTCAGAGTTTAGAAAAGACAGACACACACAATCAGCTCTTGGGTAATAGAGTCCGGCGTGGCTGGTTATAGCATGTAGCAGCTCTAACACCTCACGTTTTTCAGAACACAAGAATAATTTGTACAATTGCATTCCTTGTACCTTACCTGCCTTCCCAGCCCTTGGCAGAGGTCTCATTATCAAATGCCCTGCAGGGAAAAATCTGACTCTTTCACCATTCTTGCCAGAGTCTATGTCACAAAGAGCTGACCACCTGGACCAGTCACGTCTCTTAATTGCTCAGCTGTGGCTACCATGAAAATGGTCACATGCTACAGAACAATGCCCAACGCCGGTAGCTGTGCTGAAGAAATAAATAGGAAGTGGCTGAGCATGGTGGAGCAGTTTCTAATGCCAGAACTCTGGAAACTGAAGCCGGAGCAGTGCTACAAAGTCAAGGCCGTCCAAAAAAGAGAAACAAACAACAAAAAAAAGAAGACAAAAGTGATGAAAAGACCAAAACCAAACAAACAAAACAACCAAACGAAGTCCCCAAACAAGCAAAACACAAGAAAAGCTAGAACCAGAGTGTAATCTTTTCATGGGGTTGTGCTACAGATAATTCCTTTTCATTGTTCAAACAGAGCGTGAGGCTGACAGCCGCCCAAGCTATGTCCTGACTAATACGAATAAGATGTCCCAGCCACGTCACACAGCTTTAAGATGCCCTGCTACCCCCACGTGTCCACAGGAACTGGACGGATGCCAGCCTGTCCTGCGCGCGAAGAATGGACACAACAGGACTTGCTACTGTTCGGAAGCTCCCAGCCAGAGCAAGAAACCCAAATCAGCACTTACATTCAATGGCCCTTTACCAAATTCCACGGCTTTAAAGCAGGTAGCGGTGGGCCGGAGGGGAAGAGCAATCCTGTGGGGAGGTGGTGCCACTGCAGGGGAAGATTTTGTAAGCTTCTCGATCCTGTGTTCCTGTCTGTTCCTGTCTCAGCGAAGGGGTTGCACTGACTCTCATTCCGGAGAAAACAGGGTTTTCTACTGAAGGTAGTGCACTGTACCAGGCCCTTTCTTTTGGGCCACCAACCAGCTCCCAAATCATGGCATGGAGACTTGTTATTAGTTTTGAATGCTCCGCCTAGCTTATGCTCATTTCTGGCTAGCCCTTTCAACTTAACCTGTTTCTCTTTATCTACCTTTTGCCTTGAGGCTCGTTACCTTTCTGACTTTCTTCTGCCTGCCTTCTGGCACCAGGTGTGTCCCTTGTCATTCCTCCTCCTTCTCTCACTCCTTGAGTCTAGACTTCTCCTCCTCTTTATTCTCTCTGCCCGCTAGTCCCGCCTATCCTTTCTCTGACTAGCTATTGGCTGGTCAGCTTTTTATTAGACCAATCAGGTGCCTTAGACAGGCAAGGTGAAACAGATGCAACACATCCTTACATAAATAAACAGTAAATACTTCATAAACAAAAGTAACACACCTTCATGCAGTTAAAGTAATATTCTGCAGCATAAACAAATGTAACACATCTATGCCCAGTTAAAATCATATTCCATAACAGTGCATGGCAGTAACAACAGGCCTGAGAAGAACCGTGCTCAACATGAAGGACACCGAGTCAATACTGAACACTGTGGAAGACCCTTAAATCTTTATTTCAAATCTTCAAGAAGAATGCCATGGCCCTGGCTTCTTGTGGTCCCTAGCCACCAAATGCTCCGAAGAGGAACACCCTGACATAAAATCCAGGGGATTCCTAACTGGACAGAGATGGCTGGATGAATGTGAGCATTTTCCTTCTTTTCTAGATAACATGGTCTGTCTGTGTCTCAGAGGGCATTTTAAATTTTATATAGTTGAAGCCCTGATGCTGCTACTCTGTGTGTGTGTGTGTGTGTGTGTGTTTTAATTCTGGAGCAATCTGAAGTGATTGACATACTGTCTGATTCTTCCAGCTCTGGCCTTTTGGCTGTGCAGCAGTAAGTAATAAATATTTAGTAAGAGTTCCAGTATTATGAAGAAATAAGCAATTGCCCCTCAGTCAGCAAAGCTGCTTGGTGTTGGCAGATTCTATAACGGGAAGAGATATGTAAGAGCAGCTAGCCACCAGTACAAACTGAGAGCATGGATCAACGCCTTGAGGTGGACAAGCACTAACGGGAGACTTCTGGTTGCCCTTCTTTCTCTTCGGCTGGGTCTACGTGCTTCTTGCATTGGAACCGTCTCAATATCCTATAACATCAATGTCTACGGGAGTATGCTTTTTTCACACCTGCCCTTGCCTCCTTCTCCAGCACCATGTCTACCTGCCTGGCTTCCGGCCATGATAATAATGGGCTAAACCTCTGAACTGTAAGCAAATCCCAATTAGAAGTTTCTGCACCATTTCTCCTTAGTTGCAAACCAACTCTGGGGTTTTGATTTATTTATCAAAGTGCCTTCAATCGGAGCCAGTGTCCATGTTACAGGCAACTGCTCTCAGAGTCAGTGAGGCGAACTTTGGCATCATCAGATTGAGATTCAAGTATGGCTCCTACCACTTCTACCACATGGGACACTGGACAGATAGCTTGGTCTCCAAGCCTTGACATTTTTATCTATAAAATGGAACAGAGAGGTTTTGTTTCCTGTATGATGCTTAGCAATTAGTCCCTTGTTAGCACAGGTTACAAGTATAATAAATGTGTCTTAGTCAGCATCCTAATGCTGTGAATAGACACCAACTCTTATAGAGGAAAGCATTTCATTGGGGCTGACTTACAGGTTCAGAGGTTTAGTCCATTATCATCATGGCTGGAAGCATGGCAGATAGACATGGTGCTGGAGAAGAATCCAAGGGCAAGCAGCAGGAAGAGAGAGTAAGCCACTGGACCTGGCTTGAGTGCCTGAACCACAAAGCCTACCCCCAGTGACAGACTTCCTCCAACAAGGCCACACCTACTCTAACAAGGCCACACCTACTCCAACAAGGCCACACCTACTCTAACAAGGCCACACCTCCTAATCCTTCCAAATAATGCCACTCCCTATGAGCCTATGGGGGTCATTTTCATTCAAACCACCACAAAATGTCAATACAAGATGAATGTCATATAACATATTATTAACTTTTATCCCTTCTTACCAACATATAATCATTATAAAACACATTTTACCTTTAAACCTTATCTGATTGGATTTCCTGTCTTAAGTGACTCTTTTTTTTTTATAGCCTATGGTCCTACATTTGTATTTTAAAAAATCACCTTTAAGGAAGTCTGTTCATGTTTACCAATTTCCCAACACATTTAAAAAATTTTACTTTTTGCACTATATTCAAAATTATTGATATTTTTGAAATGTTTCAACTTCTTCAAAGTAACCAGAAGCGTACACTCATATTTGAATATTCAAGCTATTTTGTGAGAATTGCTTGTCATCAAACCATATGGTACAATTTAAAAAAGTATCTCTAACAAAGGAAATTTATTCTTGCAGTCATTCATTTAATTTTTCAAATGCTTGCTAATGTACAGCATATATCATAAACAAGATAACTTGGCAAAATGCTTAGTATGTTAAATAAGAAAAACAAGACAGGGAAGGTTGCTAAAAGTGTTTGGGGAGGAATGTTGAAGACCTCAAAGAAGGAAGAAATCAAGCCATGCAAATGCTGGGGGGGCGGGGCTGCCGATGATGGGTCTGTGACAAGCTGGTTCCTGGCAGCTTGGGGGGATGGCAGGGGTGACAGAAAACCAATGCTGCGCTGGTAAGATTCTAGACAGCTTTAGGGTCTGAACAACAGCTCACCAGAAGAGTAAGAGCGCTAGAGGTGAAAAAATTAAACTTGTCCTAAGGATGGCTATTTGTTCCCCAAGAGTACACCGTGTGTACTTCTCCCCCATGGAAGAATATACTGGGTGTGGGTGGAGATGATTCACCCAACCCAGATGTTGTTGATGGAGAAGTGATGGCCACAGTCTTGAGTCTGTAGAACCTGAGGGTCAACTGCCGTGGCAAGCAAAAGTGTGACCATCAGCCCAGGACCCTCGCAGTGCAGGCTGACCCCATTAGTGACAGTACTACTGTAGTGCCCCAAGATGAGGAAGTAGGATGGCGTATGAAGAATGACTGTCGATTATGGGAAGCTAGATGGGGTACAGCCTATATCCATGCCACTGTTCCCAACTCTGCTCTTTCAGGAATCGTAATAGCTAATTTCTTTTTCTTAATCTCCTCAGCTCCCTGACTCCAAGACCACTTGGCACTAATTTGAAGTGGATGAGAGTGGTGGGCCTTCAGAGACTGTGCCAACCCTCTGCTTCAAATAAAAGTTTCATTATTTCAGAGTGTTGCATGAAAAAAATCTTAATACCAGGGGCAGGTCACCTTCCTACAAGGTGTTGGCCAGGGAGGACCTTGATGTCTGTCCCATAATAAAAGCTATTATAACATGCCAGACGTGGTGGTAAGTCCTTGTTGCTGAAGACACCACATGCTGCAGCTGCAGGATCTAAAGACAGCGGACTGGGAATGAGATGGAAGCTCCACCCCTGCCCACTGGCCTTTGTGATGCTGGAAGGTGCTAGGCAGGGTAATGGGGAAGAATAGTCACTGATGGTCTGGCTACATACGACACTACTTTATTAGTCACCTTACTGCTGCTGTGACAAGACGCTATGACCAAGTCAACTTAGAGAAGGAAGAGTTTATTTTGGACTTACAGTTCTAGAAGGTTCGAGTCCACGGTGGCTGAGCAGAGGTAGCGGACAAGGCGTGGTGGGCCCAGCATCCGGGAGCTCACCTAACAAACTGCAGGTAAGAGAACAGAGAGAACTAACCCTGAAACGGCATGGGTCCTTTGACATCTCAAAGCATGATGCCAGTGGTACACTTCCCAGCTGGGAACCAGGTGTTCAAATGCCAGCGACAGACATATGGGGGATAGCTCAAACAACCACAACTACCAACATACCAGACAAGATGTGGCTGCTGGTGGAGAAGTGGTACAGCCGTTAAAGAGTACAACTAACTGCTTTCTCATTGAATGGTAGGCACCCTCTAGGAGAGGGAACTCATGGCTAGTACAGCAAGCCAGGGCAACTACTTGAAGCTGGGGAAGTAATAGGTTCCTGTGGGGAAAGCAATTGCTATTGTTATGAACACATATGATACGCTTATCAAATTGCCTTTTGTGTTTATGAACGTTTATGTTTATGTCCGTTTGTGTTACATTTACTGCAGCTGTCAGCCTAGGTCATGGAGGGAAACTTGTTTTTGTTTTTGAGTAGACAATAGTTACTGCTGGGACCCAACAAGTCACATTGTGGATAAGGGACTTGCAGTGGGGTGGCATCTCAGTGGTCAGCCACAAATGATTAGATATCTGTGTGGCTCCACCGGGATCGTCATAGGACAGAGAGAATGCAAGAGCCGCAAAAGTTGCCCTGCTCTCCATTTCCTCCAAACTGAAATATTCCCCCTCAGAAGGAATCGTGTAAGACTCAGAAGCTAACAGACACTAAGAGACGTACTGAGGTTTTGAACTGTTTGCCTTTGAAGACAGAGTATCACATAGTGAGCCTAAGTTTCAGTCAAGGATGGCTTCAAACTCCTGATCCTCCTGCCTCTGACCCCCAAGTGCTAGGATAACTTGTTTGCTACCATATCCAGTACTCAAGTTATTTTCTTAAAGATTTAAGTGTATGACTACCTGTGTGTGTGTGTGTGTGTGTGTGTGTGTGTGTGTGTGTGTGTGTGTGTGTGTGTGTGTGTGTGTGTGTGTATACAGCACAAGTAACTGCAGTGGCCCAAAACAAGCCAGCAAGCATCAGGGGCCCTAAGGCTGGAGTTGCCTATGATTGTGAGTCTCCTGACATGGGACCTGGGAATTGAACTCTGGTCCTTTGCAAGAACAGTAAGTGCTCGTTATCACTCAGCCATTTCTCCACCCACACAGAGGGGAAGAGGAGAGGTGACTTCAGCAGAGCAGCCTGCACGCCAGGCAGGAGCGTCACAGATTGTAGCTGTCCTGACCCTTCACCCATTTATTCCGGAGTCTGCTGTTCCGTGATAAAAATGCCTCTGAGTCATCCATGCTCCTGTTAGTAATCTCAACAAATGCATTTGTTCACCAAACGCAACTCAGGAAGAATCATTTCTCCAGTCTGTCAGTGCTTTGTCTGGGCCAAAGAGACATCCATTCATGTCTCCCCCAGAAAAGCCCATCACATGAATGTTGATTATCTCCTAAAGCTGCTGTCATAAGAGCAATCAATTTATGAGTAAGCAGCAATCTATTCAAGCTTCATGCCATGTGACAGTCATGTCTGACTTTGCAATTCATTTTACTTCTCTGAGATTTAGCTTACATTTAAAAGTAAATTATTACCTGTCTTGTCTATTCTGTAAGATTCCGGGAATGAAGTTAAAACTGCTGATAACCTGAAGGAAGTCATGGTTGAGGCTGGTTGTGTTTTTCCAAATTTGCCCTTTCTTTGAATAAGCCAATGTTTTTTGCATATCTTGTCAATGCTTCTCTAAGAGCCCGATACAAACTAAATTACATATTCACAAATGCATGGATAATATAAGATACAAAGCCCAATGATCAGAAATCACTTTGTTGGCTGGAGATATGCCTGTGGTGCAAGCATGAAGACTTGAGTTCAGATCCCTAGCATTCACGTAAGAGCCAGGGGCAGAGGCATGCATTTGAAACCCTAATGCTGGGTACAGGGTGGTGTGGGGGGTTCTGGACAGACAGTAAATCCAGATCTGGTGTCCATTAGCCAGCAAGTCTAGTCAGATCAAGTTCCAAGGTCTCGAGGCCCTATCTCAGAGGTAAGACAGATGCTGAGCATGGTTGGCGATTGACATGGACTTCTGACCTACACATATGCACACCCACAGAGAAAACCACCTTGTAAAGGAGAGACAGGCCATAAATTCTTTTTTTGTGGAAAAGAAATGTCAAGGAAATAGCTTCTATGAAGCTGCAGTGTGCTGCAGGCAATGGAGTTGAGTGTTGGGAAGGCTGCCTAAGCAGGTGTCGAAGAAACCAGAAGCCTAAAACGTGAGACTAGAGTTGAACAAAAGCAGATCTGCAGAAATAGTTAGTAGATGCAATATAGAATATGCAACTACGTTTGAATCTTAGCTACAGCCAATCATTTTATAGCCTGAATATGTCTGAAGTATTGCATGGAGCATACTCAAACATTCGTGACTTACCCGAAATCAACTTTAGGTACCCTTGGCTCTTATTGGCTAACTCTGCAGTCATTGAGATAACCGGTAAATGCAGTCCCACACCCATGTTCACATTTCTACCAGGTACATTCATTTTCCTTAAAGGACCATCTATTTTCCAGTCAGGGTATGCGATTCAGTATGTTATGGTGGTATTCGGGTTTTTTTTATTTTGGTTTGGTTTTTTTTGAGATGGGGTCTTAGTTCAGACTTATCTGGAACCATGTGAGCAGCCTTGCCTCAGCTTCCCAGTTCTGGGATTACAGCTTTATTCTACCAAAAAACATTGTGGTACTGTACTATATAGTCTGTAAGAATGTGTACGTGTGCATGTGCACCTTAGTGTATGGGTTTGTTAGCAGCAGAACAACTGACAGGATTTCCACAGGAGAGACACTGCATTGCAAACGTGGATCAAAAGACCCACAGTCTTCTTTCTCCATTACACACAGGAAGGGACACAAGTGTACAGACATTGGCAGAAGGGTCTCCCTCCCCCACCCCAAAAGTCTGTGAAGCCCTAGCCTCAGGCTTTGATTGGATAGTGTATGGAGTCTGCAAGAAAGAGAAAGGTCCAGGCTATGAGGCCCTTTCAGTGGGGAAGTAGGAGCCACAGAGATCAAAGGGAATCCATCCGAAGTGACAATGTGAATATGCAGAAGGGGATCCATCCAATGTGACAATGTGAGCATGCAGGCAGACTCTGCATGGAAAAACCACAGGCCTTGAAAACTTAGGTGGGCCAAAGGAAAACCCAAACTACAGTGGCAGAACTCTAATCTCTGTCTCTCCTATTTTATAATCCCATTCTGAAATATGGTAAGACTTGGCAGGACTTGGATCCTGAATGACTCTCATTAGCAGTAGAGAAACTTGAAAATCAACCCAAAGGCTTCCTCCTCTTGTGACTCCTCCAAGGACAATGGATATGTTAAAAATGATGTTTGCCCTTTAACAGGGTTGGAGTAGTTACACAAAATATATGAAAGTTCAGTTCTCATAGAGAAAACACGGCAGATAAAAGCATTCCCACTCACCTTCATTCAGAGAGAGATGGCACGATAAAAATAATTCTTGAATCATATTCTGCTCCTGGTGATGAGTTTCAAGAACAAATATTGGTTCATTAGAACAAAAGCTCTAAAACAACCCAAAATGTTCAGGAGAAAAAACCCCTAGAGAGGCTTAAGTAATGTTCCAACTTGAGACAAAATATCAGAACAGAAAAAAGATAAATGTCTTTCACATGAGTGAAATGTGCTCAGCTAATTTCATATTACTTCATGTTTGTATAAAAAGAAAAAAACTGTGTGTGTGTGTGTGTGTGTGTGTGTGTGTGTGTGTGTGTGTGTGTGAAGTAAGGGTACTGTCAACAGAACGAAAAATCATTGAGTAATTTCCAACTTTGCCTTTACAATTCCTTTTGATCACTACTGTTTGAACACAGCAGTAGAAAGCAAACTAAGAGAGTGACAAGTATTTAAAAAAGTTTTAGAAAAGAACTTCGGAGCATCCAAAATTGTAAATCCAACAGAAAGCCAGATAGGGCTAAAAGAGAAACCCACAAGGCTTTTACGATAAGGTTTGTGTCTTCCAGTAGATTCGATGAACTAGAATTCTAGTTCAGTTTCCCTTTTCTGGGAAAGAAAGTTATGTACACTGAATGTCACCAGGTATTTGGGACAACCCTATTGTTATTCTGTCAAATTTGATGAATTGGACTCATAATGCAAACCGACCTTGCACTGGAATTGACTTGACTCGGCTGTGATGTATAATTTATACTATATAATTTGATTAATTAGTATAGCAATGCACACTAACCACTGCTTCCGGGTTAACCTGACTTGTGCCCTGCACATTGCTGGATTCATTCACTGACAGATGTGGTCTGCTTATGACGTCTGTGCTTCTATTTGGTGCGATTGGCTTGCAAACGTCCCCCTTCTGTCCCTCAGCTTCCTAGTCAAGAGATTTATCCCTTTCCTCTTTGCTGAAACAGAGATTTCATTTTAAAATGAAGCACCGGTGAACTTTATACTTTCAAGGACCACAATGGGAAAAAAAATTAAGTTATTGCCAAGGAGCCTCAGCTT